GCTTTAACAATATCGCCTGAAGTAAAACGTACACTGGGACTGTAAACGAGTGAAATCGGTCAACCAGAAAGATAAGAAATGGATCTACAGACCCATGAAAGAGATCCAGATAGGTCTGAATCAGACCAGCAAATGGGGAGGGAAGGAGGGGGGCAAGGTAGAAAGCAGTATGATGATGCCACACTAAACTTGCCAAAAAAGGATACACCTTTTGAATGGAAAGTAAACAAAGCAAGAGATGTGATAACGCGGAAATGAGACAAGAGGGTAGGGAGTAGATAGATGGCCAGGACAGAAAGAGGAGTGATAGCACAACCACTTAGGCAGAAAATTGGTCAAGAGATTGACTTCACTTATCTCTTTAACGAATTTTAGTTTGTTGCTGAAAATGACAAGATGTACTGATGATGCCGGCGAAACGTCTGGAAATGTACCAAGTCTAGGGTCCAACGCTGGGAATCATCATAGCTACTATAGCATAGGATTTCGGACAAGGTGCGCCCAACTAAGTCGCCTTGACAGCACAACCAAGTTGTGAAAACGAGATCAGACGACTTAGATACATTGACAGGAGGCTGCACCCAAACTAGAGACCACAATGGCTTGGTCTTGAATATCTACATCCAAGCTAGACGGATAAATGGGAAATTATGGATGGAATTAATAACGAACATTTTCTGTCAGAACTTGCGGAGTTTAGGTCGACAAAGGTACACGAAATCAGGGCATTCTAAATATTGAAACTACAATTCCCACTTCACGAGTTATCGATCACCTTGACTACGTAGTCTCACAAACTTGGAAAAATTAACCAATAAATTCATCTCATATTTCAATAAAATCAGAATCTGGCTCAATATGATTATATGAGTTTTGCTAGCCACTCTTATTTGCTCAATAATTTTGGTAAGGTGAATAACATTAGATCGCCTAAAATGATGTAAGGACCGATAGATAAATTTCGCAAAACGAAATTGGGTCTATGCTTGATATTTAATTTTACTCAGCCTTGTCTCCACATAGGCTTCATAAGCCAGCCCTGACTGCTCTTTCAATCTCATCTGAGTTTCATCAGCACGCCGAAAGATATTCGAAACCAGGTTGTTTGCGTCAAGCAGCAGCGTTGCCACACCGCAGCGGCTGAAGGAGGCAGTACCTCAAGCAAGGCCTTTCTAAGCCCATATTTACAGTGCAGCTATCATCACAACAAAATAAAAAGGTTCCGGAACTTTCTCCGAAATTCAGCTGTCAGACCCTACATCAGTTTAGGCGACCTGAGGCGGCTCAGCTTCTTACTCAAAATGAACGGATAATTTCGAAACCCACTCATTTGTTATCTTTCTTGAAGAGAGGGAGTAGGGGTTTAGTTTGTTAATGGTCGTCATGTAATAGATAAAAGCTCAGAAAGAGCTGATGTGGATCATACAATAATGTGTCGAGGGCTAATAAATTCAAGCCGACTACCTTTTTGGAGATTACAGAGCAACATCAGGGTAAACATCCCTGGGTTAAAAGTTGCCTGAACTCGTTTAAGCAACTTGGTTTTGTTGTCAGGGCGATATAGTTGAATGAAACTTGTCCTAAGTCCTCTGCTATAGTAGTTATCATATTTCCCATCATTGAAGTGTAGACTTGGTACATTCCCAGAGGTTTCTCCGGCTTCGTCAATGAGGCGTGCCATTCCTAGCACCAAGCTACAACTCCTTAAAGAGTATAGCAAGACCCACTGACGATGCCACAAAACGTCTGGGAATTTACCAACTCCACGGCCAAACGCAGCTAACTAGTATAAATAGTATGGCAGAGGACCTCAGAAAAGTTGCGTCCGTTGTGTAAACGCCGTCAGACCACTTCTATACACTGAAAGAGGACTGCGACCAAAATAAAGGCCATAGTATCTTGGTCTTACTATCTTCGTTATTCCTGGGTTAAGATTTTGGTGACGGAAGATTCAAACCCCAAAATTCACACATAATTCTGCTTAGCCAGTTTCAGTTGGACCCATACAGTGGTGATGAAGATGAGGATGACGATAAAACAAGTTAAAATGGGTGATTATGGAAGATAAGAGATGAAGAGAAGCTTAAATAAAAATTACCTCATGCTCCCAATTGCTCAACTGCAGATCAGCTGATCGATTGGCCCTCGAAAGACAAGCGATTGCGGCGTAGCAGTCAATTGAGATATCCGCCATCCGAGTAAGTATTACCTGTTCATAGGCGATAGCCTAAGAAAAAAAAAGGCAAAAATGGCCTTATTGGAAAGAATTAACGAAATATTTTTCAAAATATGCATCATATTGAGGTTAAGCCAGAAACGATGCTACAGATTGTATAGACTCGCGAGGTGGTAAATAATTTGTAGCACATATTTAATGGTGGTTGCTACGTTTTTCTGCACGCAATATAAACAGCAAATAGCAGAAATACATAAGTTGGTATATATTTGGCTGGGATATAACTTAAAGCAGATAACCAAGATGATGAGACATGACATGCCTGAGTATAAACTACCTACGATATCCAGTCGTATAACAAATGGTGATGGTCTCTATAAAGGGAAATTCCGATGTTAAGATCAAGAAGACATTTGTCCACTGTCTAAGCCACAATGAAAAACAGCCTAACTGCAGTCTATTGCCTTGAGTTGACAGAATTGTCATTACACCACCAAGATACAGAGACTACCTAGAAGTGCTCTCATATCACAAGGCCAAAACACACTTTGAGAGCCAAAGTGCATAAGATTTACAGTTTGGGAACTGATTTTCTAGGCCTTGGTGCAATATCTGAGGGAAAATTTCGGATTTCTTGATAGAATTATATAATAGTTCGAGATATGTCTGATAAAATGGCTAGGAAAATAAGTAAAAATACAGAAAATATAGAGACCAAAATAGGTTGGCCTTTTGTGTGGTCGCAGTCTCCTTTTGTTGTATAGAAGTTGTTTGACCTTATTTTCGAAACTTGATCATATTGGTAGGTGAATAGACAAGGAAAGAAGGAGAGATACCACAACTGCTTAGCACACGTTTAGTTAAAGGATGGGCTTTACTTGTCTCTGACGAGTTGTCGTGTGGTGATAAGTATGGCAAGACTCATTGACGATGCCGGCGAAACGTCTGGGAAAGCACCACGTCCATGGTCAGACTCGGGAAATGAGCATGCATAAAATGCATTCCGGACTAGGTGCGTTCCTCTAAGTCTTCCTATCAATATGACCAAGTTGCGAAAACAAGGTAAAACAACCTCTAAAAATACAAAATTATCATTTTTGGGGCTCAAAACTGCTTTTGGAACAATGGCAGCATGATAACAATAAAAACACTTTTTCTAATGGAAGAAATTATTAACCAAGCGGTACCAACCCTGGCATATCGAGACAGAAGGATCTCAGTTAGTTTTTGAAATCGCCTGATGCGCACAGAAAGGGCGTCCGCTGTAAACTCAAGAAAGGGATGAACACCGGCGCCAAGTGAAACTCTTTTATCACCACTAGCTGACCTGGAGACGATTGATGACTTCGAATCTGTAGATACAGAGGGAAGACCAACAGGATAAAATTTTTGAGGCCAAAGAGACAATTTAAGTTGCTCGAAGTAGAAGGAGTAGTTAAAGAGGTAATTGCGAAGAGGATAACGAAGCTTGTTTATACTTCTCGCTGTCATATTCCATGAGTAGGAAAGAGCTTGTCCAGCTATGAGAAGACGAAGGATTCCATTTGAACTCTAAATAGTAAATGCAATAAGACCAAAATTTTTTCTGATAAACTTGCGGCAGATATGTCTATTTAAAATTTAACGGACAAGGTAATTTGTTATTTATTGGTAGAAAATTCGGCGGAATCTAATTTGCGTTTCATCGTTGCCAAAATGGAGAGGCAAAGTTTGAATAATAAATATATTATCAAGTGAGATAATGAAGTTGTTACTGTAGCTCGAATCGGAACTCTCAGTATACTCATAGCAATAAAGCACGTGTTGAATTTCCAGATTAAGCTATCTAATGCATTGATGCAACTGTAAGCAAGCAAGAAACTTGAACTTGCCCTTACAGCTTGAGCACTGCATAGGAGCGTCACATGCAGCACTGAAATGTGATACACTGGTAGAATGAGTGCATGAAATTGGCCTGGTCGTCAGTGAAATGGACCTTAAAAATTGTAAAAGGCTACATTCCCAAAAATAATACAGGAATAAAAGAAAAGAATATAATAGAATAGTTTTTAAAAGAGATTGGAGGACATAATCAAGCACATTTCTGCCAAAAATTACCAGAAATTCACACATCATATCTAAGCAATCAATTGAACTTCTGGCGAAACCAATCCTAAGAACATCATACGCCCTGAAATAACAAGCTAAGCCAAACCGATTAATGTATCCCATTTCAAAAACTATTATTATGCAAACTTATTCATCTTGATGGCTTAGACGTAAAAGAGGTTACCGTGCTTCCATTCATTTGGTGAATTAGGAGAATTTTGACCTGGAAAATGCGGAAACAAGATATCTTCCTGCTTAAGAACTTGCTTGGTGCGAACGTGGGCTTATGATTGGTGCAAAGTCACGGTCTATAGGTCCGACGGTAGGCTCTGCTAAGTAGTGAATTAATCAGTCCACACGAATGAATGGTATGAATGAGAATAGCCTTTGTGTAAAATGAGTGTTAGAAGAAAGCCGTCAATGTAATGAAAATAGACTAACAATTTAAGTGGGGAAGACTAAGGTTAAGTTGCTACAACCCAGGGAATCCATAACCAAGTAAGAAATGACAAAGGAAGAAGCACCAATAAACTAGAAGCTTTTCAAAACTAAAGAAGAATAGAAGGAAAATCGCAGTTCTGCATTTTGCAATGCCAATTGTAAAGTAAAGGATTAATCCAAAGCAATCTTATGTCCAGGTCCTGCAACTAAGATGAGAAAAATAAGAAAAGATAAAGAAAGATGGATTTTTCTTATATAGTATACTAAGGATCAAAAGAAGAACATGTAATGTGAAATCTTTGCACCAAGTACACAGATAATTAGTTAAAAATGGCGATATTTTTCATACAGATAATACGATGTATGAGATGTATTCAACTTATGTCGTTTAAGGTTATAAAGCCGCAAGTAGGCAAATTATAAATATAAAAAAATATATCCTTGTAATGAAAAAAAAGATGGTGGTCATTTGTTTGCTCGCATTCTTCTTTAGCTAAATAGTTTTAGTTTGACCTTATTTTTGCAACTTCGTAGGTGCGAAAAGTAAGCATCAACGATCTGATGCTGGTAATCATAATGGCATAAAGGACATAGGACCAAGTACGTTCTACAAGGTCTCCGTTTCGCTCGGACTAAGTTGTGAAAACGAGGTAGGATAGGCTATCGTATATATGAAGACTAGGATTAGATGACATCTAAATAAGTCCCATCCACCCTATACCGGATGAGGCGATGAAAGACAAAGTGGAATTACACCATAATGATATGAGTAGGACTCAAGTTTACATTGAAGTTCACATAGTTTTGCTTCTCAAAATGTAATCTTCTCCTGGCTTGAATGGTTGCAAGTTCGACCTCGCCCAGGTCTCGTGAAAATCATCAGTGGAAATCGAACCCAGGTAGTGCAGCTTATAATCTAGACCTATTATCATTGCAATACACTACCACGGATGCATTCGGATCACAAGGTAGACATGAATTTCGAAGAAACCCAGACCTCTCAGATACAGCATCTGTTAATCAACTTTGTTTTGACTCTAACGTTTTATGCGATTCATGAGCATTGCATGCACACAGCACGTGTACAATGAACGCGATTACATGCGTCAAGATTGCAGAATCAAAAATATAAGTGATTTAAGGAAGTATGTAGGTATTCAGACACAATTGCATTTATTTCACGCCTCATCTGCAGCAACTTCACTTTCCGCCAACATGTAGGGTAAACAGGATATCCAACCCAATCATAAGATATCTCATCAAGTGATCAAATATCGTAAACATGGCGTCATGCTCTGACGATGTCCATCATACGAAGG